TTGGAGATGGTTTGTCATGCTGCACTACAAACCCAGACCCTGTGCTGTTTTGAGATCAAAATGAGCCTCTTTCATTTGTCACAAATGTGATGAAACATAACATACCAAGGTTTCCCTAGATTTAGCTGTTCTTAGATATTATCACTCTTAGTACTGTGAAACTTAAAACTTAAGACACTCTCCTAGGTGCCACATATCTTTTGTTTCTACTTATCAGAAGTTACCTGCCCAATAAAACATTGCAGGCAAGGTGAGCGTGGTTGTGCACACCCAGACACATGTGCAGTGGAAAGGAGGGTGGGAGAAAGGGTGCATTAATCTATTACCTAATCATCCAGTCTTGCTGGCACAAAAATCAAACTCTTCCCTTTAGCAATAGAAGGTATTCTGTACTTTCTTTGAGTAGTGAGGGGAGCCAGTCAACATGAGGCACAAAAGTTTTGAGGTTACATTTGCAGATAGTTATAACTTTCTTTCAAAAGGAAGAATAAAACATAGCAGGATAAATCTTAATGTCAAGTACACTCATGCAAAACAGCAACCATTTAACAGCAACAGTGCATTATTTAGTACTGAAGGTCATAAGAAGAACTGAGGCCAAAAGCTGAAGGCAGGCAGATTCTAAGCTGAAATACAGAACAAGTATTTAGAAGCAAGGTAGCTAAAACTTGAACACCAAGGCAAACCAAGAACTCACATTTCTTTATGTCTTCAAATAAAGTGAATGCCTTTCTAGAAGACATGATTCAGTGTAACGGAAGTTATCAAGTACCTGAAGGAAACATGTATGATATATGGGAGGTCAGTTTGAATTAACTGATTCCACCCATCTTTAAACTCTATGAAACTGAAAATAAATCATTACTCAAAAGCAAGTCCTAGCTCACTAGTAGTATTTGCCTTATTCTTTCAGTGCTTCTGAGCTCTTCCAGTGAAGAGCAACATTCATCACTTGGTTAAAGTATTCAGTGAATAGTCCCAACAGACTTTCCCGTTGGCAACCAGCCTCCATGTTCCCTGTCTTCTTTTGCAGCACCATCCTCTTGGTAACAGAGGATATTTACTTAGGTGAGATGGAGCAAGACTTGCTTCTATCAGTTGCTAATAGCTAGGCTCTGTTGCTAGCTTGTGTTTGTGCCCCAGAATGCTGCTGCTTCTAAAAGCAGACTCAGACAATCATCCAAAGACTACAGTTTAAAACTGGCACCAGTTTATTGAGCCTATCTTGGTTTTGTATATGTGTGTGCGTGGGTAAGTGTCATCTTCTTGTTCAGCTGACCTAACCCAGTATGTGCTACCTTCAGCTTCAATGAGACTACAACTCGGCAAGAACATCCCCAAATCTATTCTGACTGATACAGCAGGTAAAAAATTACCAGATAATGATTTCCAATCCAAACCAGAAATTATATCACTGTCAATGAGAAAAATCATCTTATGACTTGCACCCCTAATCAAGTAGATCTGGAGCTTTTTTAATGTTACTCTTCTTTTTAACAGTATCACTTTAACTAGTATAGTGAATTAGGGAAGCAACAGCAAGTCCTTAAACAAAATACACAAGCAGACAGTAAAACTTCCAATATTTTGCAGTGCTTAGATCCAGGCTTCTGCACCTCTGTTTAAGATCTCTACAAAATTGAGGTCTGCCGTCAGACTGGATTTTGAATTCACAATTCAGGTTCATCAGAGTCACACTGTGCAGCATGGCAGTACATTCCATGACATTGCACTGCAATGTAAAGGCAACTGTGTTTTTCTGGGGGGGTGCTCTCCAGCCCCTCTACAGCACAGAGCGTACTGAAGCCATGAAAGGAGACTGAAAGCTGACTTTCCTTGATAAATCTCCAACTGGCCAATCTTACTTTCCAATCATCAAAATTAATTTTTCTAATCTGCAAGTGGAAATAAAAGAATGAGTGAATAAATAGATTTCTTTCATCTGAACATTTCAAGTTTATAAAAGCAAAGAATTTTTCTCTATGGTACCCTTGGACAGCCTGGAGCTCTTCTCTGACAATAAAAGAGAAGCAGTTCTGCCTTCACTAGGGTCTCCTCTGAACACTTCTGTGCTTGCACTGAGGCCATGAGATGCAAAGATACCAGGGAAACAGAGCAGCGATTTACATTGACAAAGAGGATTTTGATACACTCCTCCAAATGGGGCAGCATTACCATCTTAATAGCCTTTTGCTCTCGGCCCTCTTCCTGAGGACGCTGGAGATTTTTGCGAATGGAGAACAGTTCCGCTTCCCATTTTAAGTGCAACAATAGCAGAAGGGCTCCTTAAACTGCATCAAATAGCAGCCTGTGAAATCCCTAACTAGCCGCACTGCCTCTCCTGCCGTTTTATTATCCTCCAGCCTGCAGAACAAAAGGGGGGGAGCTCCTCCTCATTTTTAGCCTATTCCACACATCCTAATCCCTCAGAGGTGGCAATGGAAATTGCTTGTGGAACTGTTAAATCACACTTTCACTTTGTCTTTCATTCCCCATTCACCCTCGCTAATCAAGGAGTTTCCAGCCACATTTTCCGATATCAATTTGTTTATGGCCTATTGGTTAATGGTCCCAGGATGGGACCCCCTGAGTAAAATGAAAGAATCCTGGGCACTTCAGCCAGCTGCTGCTTCTCGCCAGTTCCCACACCCATCCGCTTGTTCCCATCAGCCACCCTGAATGTGCTCACCTCCTGACACCAACCGAATTAAACAACAAAGCCTGAATGGGAAAGCTGCCTTTGCAATCAGGCTGTGGGACGGATTCCACTTGTTAGCACTACACGATGTCCCTCGAGCAGCAATGCAGGGACACTCCCTTGCTGGCTGACCCATGGACAGTTGCCTTACTGACATCTTACCTTGCATGCAGCTTCCCTTTGGAAAGAAGCAGCAGCTACAGCTCATAAAAACTCTAGCCTCTCTTGCATGAGGCAGCCTGATGCCACTTTCTGCATCTTATCTGAAACAGCCACTTCCAGGTGATTTGCTCAACTTCCTCTTTCCACAGAAATAATGATCATTGAAATGTGGGATGAGAACATGCAGTATTTACTTTGTACAACTCCGTGAGATGGCTCGCATGTAAATGCTTAAAAGTCTCTGTAATATAGTCTGGGGCACATTATCAGGGGAACCATGCCCTTCCTTACTACCCACCTTGGAGAAAAATATCTAAAATGTAAACATAATGGTGTAGTTAGAAAGTAAGAAAAGGATCACACAAAGAAGAGCTTCAAGCTGTCTTCCAAAATGCACAAAGCATGACCGATATCATGACAGCATTTACTTAGAGAAATCCAAACTGGTGTCTCACCTATTTTTAGAAAAATGCTGAATGATGTTTTAAATGTGCACCCCACAAACACACAGGTACAGGGAAAAGAGCAATTGCCTTACTCCTAATACAGTGCTATCCTTCTATCAGAGAGTCTTGCTCCATCGTCATTATGTGTTACCAGGCCCATTTGTTCTTTAAAGGTAGGGTTCAGTCCTTGGAAAGCTGTATTCCTGGCTCACAGAAAAGAACTGAAACAAATAAAGATCTGCTCTGAACAAATGCTCCCCATTTCTGACATGGGAAATCTTTCTTTCCCAAAGTTTCACCACATTAATGCCTGAGGACAAAGCAGGAAACTGTCTGCCTTTTTTTATAATGGCCAGAAACACTTCTGCAACTCAGAAGATATTCGAGATAGAAACTTGTCTTCTGCCCTATACTGAACCAAAACATGTCTAGACCAACTCTTGCAAGCCATCTCAGTTTAAACTAATGAAGATTGATTCTAGTTCCTGTAGCCTTTTTAAAATTGCTGGTACCAAATAAAGCAGATCAAATTCCCAAAATGCCATCTACGAGTACAGTGGGTATAGTATCCAAAGGCTTAGGAAACACCAGATGGACCCCATATTGTTATTATTATGTAGATGTATCAAATGGAAGCAAAAATGCACCATGAAACATTTTGTTTCTTTTCTTTTCCTACATTATGTATCACCAGAGATGTAAGCATATTCAGTCATTAGTAAACGTAAATATGTCATGGGTCTTGTACAGATTGTTTGAAGGTGAGAAATGGGCAATCAGAAGGAAGAGAAGTGTTCACATACCTTAAAATATTCGTAGTGCTTTATGAGATCAGTGATTCTCAACCACTGGAGCCTGAGAAACAGTGACACTCACTTTTCTTAATGTCATGGCTACATATCAGAGTGTACCCTCTGAACAAAAAGTGACAGGCACTGACTATTTTTATTTAGTCTGCTAAACTGATGCAGCAATTAGGAGTCAGGATGCACATCAACAGACAACAACTCAACAGAATTGATCTATGAGTGTCCGTCTAAAAGTAAAGACATTAAAGGAAGATTTATTGGGATAAATGGGGAGAAGAAGGGAAGAGCTGAACTTCCCTTTTTGCTGTAGTCTGAAAATACGTAATTTAGGACATGGCCACAGGAACCCTAGTTCCCTGCCCTGATGGTAGTAATATCCAGCTTTTCAGCACACTACCTCATATCCTAGAGAATCTGAGGATTATTTAAGACCATGGGGCATTAGCATTAAAATGATCACAAAAATAAAGAACAGGTATTAATTTCCTGTATTTTTACTGATGTCGAGCCATTTGCTAAAGAAGAACCATTTATTAGAGCAGGTTATTAATGATAGATGGTTATGTTTCTCCTGGAGAAACTTATCCCATAGGAGCAGTGTTGCCAGAACCATTTTACTTTACCTTGAAGGAAAACAGGGAGCCTTGATTATTAATTTCAGGGCCCATTCTTAGATCCATGGGAATATGCAACAACTAATTTTGTATAATCCAAGACAAAACAGTGAACACAGCAGAAGGCTGCCCTTGCCAACCAGACTGTTTAAATGTGTGGGTTTTTAATTAGATATAAACAACACCATTTACAACAATAGTTGCTGTTATCTACATTCAACCTGCTTAAAATACAATTGAAAAGGCAAAACAGACAATGCTCTGGTCTTACCTTGAAGAACCAAGCCTGATTTCTCAATGGTGTAGAAAAAAGAGGAGAACGGAGCAACAGGGGATTTAGCCACCAGGAGCTGGAAAACAAACAAGTAATATATAAGTGCACATCTTGGTAACATACTCATCAGAGCTCAAATCTGTAGAATAATCTCACTGGATTTAACTTCCAGAAGTGGTAAAGCATACTGGAGAAATAACAATGTAGTTATTGATCCAGCCCTGTCATTTCTAAGCAGCTGAGGTCTTCTCATATGCATGCTGCAATTTTAAAAGGATTCACAGGTCCTAAAAAAACACCATCATGAAAGCAGCAAGTTTTGCTTGTCTTATTGGCATCCTGTTAAGCTTAATCATTCCTGCTGGTTCAGGCAGTTGCACTCAGATAGAGACAATTTTGAGCAAAACTGCAACTGCCACTGTGTAATGCAATTTTAATTGCCATTTGCCATTCCACAGATGTGCCCCCTTGGCTTCTCTGAGAACTCCACTCGTTTTCTTCCTCTGGCCCCTGGAATCTGTGTGGTCCACCCATGGGTCACCACACCAGGGACAGTAACATGCTGTTGCAAGTATCTGGATGTCCTTTTTTGCAAAAGGGGTAATGACTGAGTCAAGCTTTATTCAAGGATCTTGTCCTTGGAGTATTAAAATAGGATCTGGACTTCCCTCAGGGTGTATAGTGCAACCGAATTTTGCTCGGTATTTGTGTGTGCTGGCTCTCCATGGTCAGGCCAGAAAGATCCCAAGCTCACTGGCTCCACTACGGAGAAACCATCCTCTGTGGAAGATCAGCTGCTGCAAAGCTCTGGAGACAAAGAAATGGGCTTGTTGGCAGGGTAATGGACATGGAACCCACAGTGGCAAGCTCACAGAAATGTGCCAGGCTTTATTGCATGAATTTTTCTCATTGCTGAGGACTGCTCCCTCACAGCTTGCTTCAAAATAACCTCCATTCTGCCACCTACATGAAAGTGACATTTTAATGATAAATTTAGTAAGACAGTAATCAGCACCAGCACTGGTCTAATGGTCCCCATGTGGGCCCTGGAGAAGACACCGACAGCAGTGGCTGAAGCAGAGAGCGTGCTGCTGAACAAAGCTGAAACGCGTTTCTCTGCTTACCTCTTCAACAGCTAGAAAAGGCCAGAAACTGGAAACCAGCCCTCCTGGCGGCGGCCATGCACTCTGGACGAGCCTTCCCACCCTCCCGGGCCCTGAGGCCAGGGTTTGGGCAGGCGGTCCCCCTCGGCCCGCGCCGCTGCTCTGCCGAGGCCTGCTCCAGGCAGAGCAGCATCGCAGAGCCCGAGCCCTGACCGCCCGGGACGCAGAGCCGCCCCGCCGACGTCCTCTCCTTCAGCGCCCTGATTTCACCCACCCCGGGCGTGCGTGAGGCCGGCCGAGCAGCGGCACGCTGTGGAACCACCACGCACCTCGGTGCCTCGTTTCCAAAGCCCTGACAGACACTACACCCTCGCAGCCCGAGACAGGCAGCTCTCTGTCAGATACAGCCAAATACAGAATTTCTTAGAACTACAGACAGTAACAACCTTATTTTTAGAGGTGTGAGGCACGACAGATCGTGCTGATTTCAAACAGAGTAAAAAACCCGCATTGTTTCCAAAGGTCATGCCCTAATTTTGCCAAACATTCAAGCACTTGTAAGGGTCACTGAATATGAATTTCAGTTGGTGGTGCCTAATGATCAGCAGGGAAACAGTGAGCAGGTTTTCTAAAAGCCAGGAGAGACTACAGAAAAACAAAGAAGTTAATGCTCACCGAAACTGCTCACATGTCACTGAAAAGTCAGACAGCATTGAATCAATTCAATAGACACACAGGACTGGAATATTCATTCCTAAGTGTAAGATGAATAATATCAAGCACCAGAAGTTTGAGCTCTGCGGTGTCCTTACATAACCAGATGTTTTGGCAGCAAATTCTGCTGCAGAATCAAGGCTTGTGTGACTTTCCTATAGCAATTTAAATGCTAAGGATGTCTGTATAGTAGGTAGGTTTCATTTGAATTTGTATGTGATCTGCAGACATGATCAAGCTTAGAGGTCCTGCAACTCTTTCTCATCTGATTCTGATACAGCCTGAAGAAACAAAATCCTCATATCTGGTGCTTCAAACATAACCATTATTACCCACAGCTAGCTAATGTCTTTATGGTTTTCAGAATTTAAACCAAACATAGTCTCCCTTCTTCAGACAGCAAAAAATAAAGGCAGGCACATGAAGACCACAAATACAGCTGGAGAACATCAGACCAGTCCAAATGTCAATGTTTTCCTTTCAGTCATATGAAGCTGGCAAAACCACCCCAGGATGCGATACAACCTTTGTGAACTAGTCCAAGTAGGAAAACTGCTGTGGCAGCACTTTCCCCTCTTCCATGTTAATTACCGTACTCTCTGGAATGAACTTCTGGAGAAAGGAGGGGCACGTCACATCCCGCACCCGTGACGCACCTTGATAAAACCCGAATTCCCTTCCCCGTCGTTATCCCCAGAGCCAGCACTTCCCACTGACGCGGCAGGAGGGGGACCCTGCCAGGAAGAACACAGAGTGTCTCCTGGTGCTTCCCACACCCCCTCAGCTCTGAGAACATCAGGGAGAGGATGGGGTGGAAAAACTCTGCAAATGTTCAGCTGCAGTCTCCCACAACAGCTGGATGTTTAATCGGAAAGGCCCAAAGTGAAACAGTTACAAATCTGATGTCTAAGGTCAAATTTTTGGCATTCTCTGCAGTACTATGCACATAAATACTAACCTACATATGCATGTGCACTAGGCACAGTTGTACGTGCAAACGGATAGACATTCAAATAACCCTATGTACATTCTGTTACTGCATTTTTATGCAGTTACAATATGTGTATAACTAAGTATAGAAATGAAAAAATATAATAAATCACAACCTTTCAGCAGCACATCACAGGGCCCCTCTGAAAGGCTGCTGCTGCATAGTTACATATGAGGCTTAGAATTAGCTTCATTTTTAGTGAAATGCCAACAGCTCAGAATATTCAAAGGTATTGTTTTATTCTGAATGTTTGCTTACTGAGAAAAATAACCTTTAAAGTATGATTGTGTGTTTCACAGCCAAATACAGTACATAGATTTTTTTTTTTTTTGTAACACCAAACTTTACACTAACATCACTTTTTTTTTTTTTTTAAATAAGTATGTATTTAGATTTGTGTTTCAACCAAAGAGAAAAAACTATAAAAGATCATTGCAAACCATGCTGTAGTTGAAACAGTGAACACTGAGTAGGTTCCTATGCATACACAAGGAACTTGTAAAACATAGAAGGAAATACATATCAAAAAAAGAAGGTTATGTTTTGGAGGCCAAGAAGTGGAAGTATAAATTGAGGATTACCAAAAATCAACGTAATGTTGATCCTGGAGAGATTATTAACAATATGAAAAAGGAAATAAAAATTAGAGTTATAATGAAATTACATTAGGATAGTGATTATATATTCTAGATATGAGTGAAGAAATAATCAGTTATCAACAAGCAAGACCATGATGAAAAAGAAGAAAAGGCAGATAATGGGAATTATCTGTATCGTACAGATATAGAAATAACAACAGAGTGGAAAGAAAATTCCAGGAGCTTAGTGCATTCAGTAGAAAATAGATAATCTCTATCAAAAAAACCACTGTAAGAATCAGCATGTGAATTTAGGTCTGATAGCTAGTATTTGTCATACATCTATGAAATTGAAGATGATGCAACATAGCTGAGAAGCAGCAAACATAGTCCTCAAAGGGAAGAGAAAAAACCATTTAAAATGGTGAGTTGAGGCGTGTAATCTAATTTCAGTACCATGCAGGTCTTTAGAAGAAATTTTGAAGGGAAGAATAACTAAAGACTTGGAGAATGGGATAAAATGAAACATGGATGTCATGCCAGACATATCTGACATCCTCCTTTGAATATTTTAGAAATCTGAAATAAATTTGGTCTCATCTATTTGGATCTCTGCAAAGCTTTTAACACAGCTAAATGAGAATTGATAATGAAGAAAAGAAGGATAAGCACAGAAGCTGTAAAACAAAAGGGGAAACAGTCAGTTATTGAAAAGAAAACATTTCCCAGATAAGCTTCTGTGCTTGTGTGTACAGAATGGAGTGCTCATCTGAGAGGCCACTAGAATTTAGCTCAATGAATATAGCAAACATGAAGGTTGATTGTTGTCTGTTTGTTCAAGTGAAAGGGGAGAGGGGAAACAGAGAATGGAGCAGGAAGAAAGAGAAGAGCTTCTCAAACTGACAACACTGGCACAAGAACAAACGTGAGGCCATGAAGACATTTTGGCTGGAAATTTTAAAGTTTATAACCATCAGTAAAGTGAGATTCTGGAAGAGCCTTTGAGTTAAAGAGGCAAAGCTAAAAAAAATACATTTTCTTTTAGGATTCAGATTAAAATATTTATGAAAGGGCTATGAAACAGTGCCTGGGATGCACTCCATGACCTATGAAGACTCCTCAAGTCCTATGGGCATCCTGAGAAGCAACGAAGCCCTGCCAACTCATCTTTTATGCTGATGGAACTGAGAGTTGGAACAATACATACTAACAATGTCCCTTGATGGTCCATATGCAACTAAGGATCTTTGTGGTTAATCAACCAAGAAAAAGTTGCTGGTTTTCAGATACAGAATTTATAATTTAAAGTCTTCTCATCTCTCTCTCTTGTGGAGCACCTGCTCCTCTACCTGAAATTCCAAGCAGCCACTTGAGGATGTGGAGAACACAAGGGGACTTCCAGGATAACTCAGAAGCAGACAGCTCAGGCAGAGCAGGCATCCCCAAAACTCACATATATTTAACTATATGTCTTGTTCCAATTCTAAATCAGTCTTGGCCAAAAACCAGAGAGATTACGAAAAGGTTTATTATCTGAACCTGGACCTGAATCAGAATTCCTTATTAACAAGCTGAAACAGAAACCTCTTGCCACAATCTTACTTTCCCAAACTTAAGATTAAAAACCTAAATTTTCAGTCCAACATAACAGATTTCCTCGGTTACTTTTTCGCTTCAGGAAAAAAAAGGA